GTGTTGGAGTGGGGGGTTAGTGGACTGAGCGTTTACTTGTTGTTGTAATTTTTTTTTCCTGATTTCTTTTTTTAAAATTTGGTTAGGACGTTTGTTATTTGGTTAGGACCTCTGTGTTTCTCAGGCCGTAAAAAGAGAGGGGGGAGGTTGTCTTTTTAAAATTTGACTTATACATCTGTGTGAGTCATTTAGAATTTGGGCTTTGTCTTTCTTTTTTCTGTGGGGTGGGGATTGGGAAGGGGGTAGTATTTTGGGAAAGGAGTACTTTTTGTGCTGTTTGAAGTAGGTGATTATGGAGGAGGAGGGAGGGGTGGTGGTTCTTTTTCGAGCGGGTCGGAGTAGGGGGGCTGGTTGTTTATTTTTTGCTTTGTTTTGTTTTCCTTTGTTCTATTATTAGTCCTATTCAAAGGGAAGAGGGTTTTTTTCTTGGAAAGGGGAGGGGGGGTTGAATTTATGAAGTACGTAGAGAACTTTTAAAACCTATCTGACAAAATACTGGTTTACGCCTTTGAATTTCATAGTTCCAATAAATATCGATGGGTTGTCTGAAAAAGGGGGAAAATTGCACATCTGTGCTGTATCGACAATACTTTCGTTTTTTTGCGAATTTGTTGTTTTATGTTTTTTGGGGATTTTTTTTTTTTATTTCTTTTATTTAAACATCACACCTGACACGCTTTAAAAAAGTAGTTAGATATAACAAGGGACGCGACAAAGATTGCCTCGTTCGCTGGTTCCAGTAATAGCTTGTTCAAAGTAATGACCTTTTACTCAAGAGCTTTTTTGATTGGCCTTATTAAAGATTGCCACACAGAGGACGTTTCCGATGGCGAAATCAAAGTAAGAATTCAACGTGTATTTTTGTCGCAGGGTGAACAAAAATGTATTTTAATACGTGAACAAGGGATTTGGTTATTACCAGGATTTTCAGAGAGAGAGAGAGAGAGAGAGAGAGAGAGAGAGAGAGAGAGAGAGAGAAAGGAGGGGAGACGGAGAGAGACAGACACACAGACAGACTGACAGACGGACAGAGAGAAAGAGAGAGAGAGAGGGAGAGAGAGAAAGACAGACAGACAGACAGACAGACTGACAGACAGACAGACAGACAGACTGACAGACTGACAGAGAGACGGAGAGAGAGAGTGAGAGAGAGAGAGAGGGGTGGGGGAGGGAGGGAAGGAGGCAGGAAGGGGTAAATAGAGTGTGGATTTGTCTATGAAATGAGAGTGGGAGTGTGGGGGGGAGTGTGTTTCTGATCTTTGTATGTGCTTTTGTAATGGTCTGTTCAAAAACGAAAGACAAACGAAAGCAAGCAAAAGCTGAGATATTACACTAAAAAACATTACACAAAAATAAATGGAAAAAAAGTAAAATTCACATGCTTTAAGTTCAAAAAGGTATTCAATAAGAGTACATTTCGCACAACTGTTGTTCACAAAAATACATTAAATGACAAAAGTACAAAGTCAGAAAACAACGAATAAATAACAGCCAGATGCAACTTGTTTTGTTTGTTCTGTTTTTGTTTTTGTTTTTCTTTTTTTGCTTGTTTGTTTATAATTCGTTTCGGAAGCAGGCAGTCTTGACCCTGTCAAACTTAGCCAACTTTGGCTCTGTGGGATGCACACAAGCAAACTAAAAGGGATAGCGGGGGAAAATCATTATTTTGTGCCTTTAAATCGAACTCTCGTCTTTCACGTGCAAGTCAAAGAAGACCTGATCCTTTACATCGAGGATATTCGACATTTGAAACCATCCCAACCGTTATTACACGCCACTCGCTGAGAGAGAAACTAGTTTTCAATATTAAATGATACAGCTTTTCATTATTCATCATAATATATCACATTTCACCTCTATTCCTTATCTGTTCCTCGCGCCTCCTGTCGTCCTCTCTCTTTTTCTCTGTTCCTCTCTCTCTCTCTCTCTCTCTCTCTCTCTCTCTCTCTCTCTCTCTCTCTCTCTCTCTCTCTCTCTCTCTCTCTCTCTCTCTCTCTCTT